AAGAGGTTGTTTGAACTTCACACCAAGCAAAGGTTTCATCAACACCGCAACCTGTTCAGGTACTGCAGGAAATCTGAGTGGCAGTCAGCTTCTCCGTTCACTCCAAACAGGAAGTTTGGATCAACTTTCCCCAAGAGGTCGTTTGAGCTTTACACCAAGCAAATATTTCTTCAGCACTACAGCCCGTTCAGGTACTGCAGGAAATCTGAGTGGCAGTCAGCTTCTCCATTCACCAGGGAACAACCGCAGTCTGAGTAACCCATTCCACCCATCACCCAACAAGACAATCTTTTGTACTATCCTCCCAGTCCGGATACCTTAAAGGACACCTTTCCCTGGAGAAGTGAGTCTGCAATCTTTTCCTCCAATTCTAAAACCTAAGATTCTAATTTCCCACTGAGCCTGAACTAACCGCAGTGTCTTCCCCTCACCTTTCAGTCCCTATTGAGCAGTGCTCAGAGCAGCACTGGATTCATCACATCATTACTAAATAAACCTGTTTAAACTTTTCCCTGGTGTCTCTGTTTGGTCTTCTGCATCTTGGGGTCACACCTTATTATAATCATGACACTTACTTGTAAGCTCCAGCTGTTTTTTAATAATGGATCAGGGTAAAGCATGTCATCAGCTCTCAGAAATATAGACTTTCAGAATAATATGTGAGAACAGTCAACGGTCAAACCCCAGGTAAAAAAAAAAACTGTGAAAAGAGATAGAAAACAGGATATTTAAAACCTGCAATGAGAGTACTGGTACCTTATTTTAAAGAGGATATCCTGTTAAGCTAAAACCTCACTGGAAACATACTATATTGTAAGAGAGGGGCTTGGAGAAAACCTAATCTGCAAAATAAACTTCTCACCAAGGGTTCCTCTAAACTTTTCTTTAAATGTGTCTACAATCATATTTTAAATATAGGCCTATACAATTTTCGTATCAGTTCTCGTTCAAGAGATATTACACAGACTTGTGAAGTTGGGCTTTGTTGTTTTTTTATATAACTTTTCTGTCACAATCAAATGTGGGAAATTGTTTCCATCTGTTGCACAAAGAGACAGAAGAGAAAGAAATCTGCAAAGATCTGGATCTAATCACCCTGCATAGTCAGACCCCCTATATACTCACTGCAGTCAGTGTGACATGGAAAATAATCTGGGATTAAAAACTCGGATGCAACCAGTGTGACCGGGGCTTTATTCTCTCTTGACAATGCACTCATGAGAGAATAAAGCACTGGCACAGTAACCGTAACTAACTATTCAGATCAACTTAATTTGCTACTTTTTCAGATTTGCTTGAACAAAAGAGAATAGACCACAGTATTCATTTGCAACCAGCAGCACCAGACCTGCAACTCTGTCTTTGGATCTGTGGCTCATTCAATCAACAGTAAAATATTTTCAACTATTATAAATTTGGTCTATAACTGCCAGTCCTCCCTACTCTTAAATGTTAAACCAGTTCTTCATTCAACAGTTCCAAGATCTCTAAAGCTGCCAAGTATTAATTTGAGCCAAGTTCTCAGGCAATCTATTTAAACTACTGTTGAGAGCATTATGCTCATTTTCTAACAGCCCAGATTCAAGGCCCACACCCTGTTCCAGTTTGCAAAATATAATTGAATAGCCTAGCAACGAGCATGTTTTACAACCCATAACCCGTTGTTACCTCTATTTCCAAATGAGCTCTTTTTTTACAAGATAGATAGATTTTAGAGACTATTGTGCTAGTTTATCTTTTGGGGTTAGGAAACCTTTAACAAACCCCCCATTTATCATGAACATCAAGGTGTATGGTTATTTTTCTTCCAAAAAAAGGTTGTTTATGGTTATGATAGTTTAACCATTTTTTTTTTAAATACATTTTTGTTATTTTCTTCACTCAAAATTAAATGCAGGTTTCTAAAAAAGTTTTAGAGATTTATATCCATGCAGTACCCAGTCAGATGTGAATTGTAATTAAAAGGGTTAGGGTTCAAAGGTGATATGTATTTTAAATAAAACGGGACTTTGTGACTATATTGAGAAAGACCCCCACCTCAACCACAGATCAGTGGTCAACACAACAGTATGAACAGTCAAGGTGGACCCAGAAAACCCCAGCCTGGTAAAGGCTTACAGTGACTTCCTGAGCAGCCTGAGAGCTGGGCTGGATTTCTCCAAGAGTTCACATACTGTTCCTCCAAAAGTGACTGAGCAGCCAGTCCGATTGGGTAACGGTAAAGGGGCGACATCAAATCCTACCGGAAACTGCTGGCTAAGGATAAGCTTAAATACAGTAAGATTTTTATTGACGCTGGCGGTAATGACACTCGGTTATGCTAATCGGAGGTCACTAAATTTAGTGTGTCTTCGGTGTGTAAGTTTGCCAAAACAATGTCGAACTCTGTAATTTTCTCTGGTCCCCTCCCTAATCTGACCAGTGATGACTTGTTTAGCCGCATGTCATCATTCAACCGCTGGTTGTCTGGGTGGTGTCTTGAAAACAACGTCGTCTACATTAATAATTGGCAATCCTTTTGGGGAAAGCCTGGTCTGATTCGGAGAGACGCCATCCATCCCACTTTGGATGGTGCAGCTTTTCTTTCAAAGAACCTGGCCGAATTTGTTAGTCCTACAAAACTCTGACAACCCAGGGTGCAGACCAGGAAGCAGAGTCGCGTTTAATGCTACGTTCACACCGGACGCAGCAGGCGCGGCAGAAGCAGCAAGTTTACATGCAAAGTCAATGGTTGATGCGCATCAA